TAATAATAATAATAGGATACCCAGAATGTACTGGATAAAGTGATGAACTGAGTGTGAATCTCTGCTCAGCCATGGAAGCCCACTAGGAGTATGGAACTGGAAAAACAGCTCCTTAAATATCTCATTTATATTGAAAGCCCTATTAGGATTGCTATAAATTGATTCTAACTCAAGAGCACATAAGAACAGCAACAAGAATATAGGTGCTGTTAAGCCAATTCCAACTTAGAGCGGTTCTTTTCTGGGAGTTTCTAGGTACAGAATACTCAGACGTGGTTTACCATTTCCTTCTCCTGTATATGAGCCAACTGTGTGATGCAGCTGCAAAAAAGGCAAATGTTTTAGGCTGCATTAACAGAAATATAGCCTTTGAATCATATGAAGTACTTGATCCTCTCTGTTTGGCAGAGGTTAAGCCTCATCTAGAGTACTGTGTCCAGTTCTGGACATCACACTTTAAGTGAGATGTAGACATTTCCATATATGTATATAAGCAGATTATGAACATATTCTGCAGATACAATGCAATCTTTATTTTCCTAAGCCATTGCAGAAGGAAGCAGGGAACCCTTTAAAAATACAAAGAAATAATTTTTATGTATATAAAAATTGCCTTTATTTATTTATATATTGCATTTTATTTTTCTCATACTGCTGCAGATGATATGTTTTATTTTATTCTAGAACTCACAGTGCCAATGGATGAGGAAATGCTTTCAATTCCCATCAGTAACAGTGTTCATGCACTTCTGAAGAGAAGAGAAAACTACCTATGCAGTCTGCTACAGAAGAAATTTGGTTGCATAGCTCTCCTTAAAAGCATGAGGAATCCCATAGAAGTGTATAGGAAAAGCCTGAAAGAAGGTATTGATGTTTCTGTCTGGGTTGATGATCTTACAAGACATGAGGCTGATGCTTTGGTGAATGCAGCCAATGAACACCTGCACCATTTTGGAGGCCTTGCGTTTGCGCTGTTGAAGGCTGGAGGGCCTGAAATTGAGGAGCAGTGCAAGAATTTCATTGAAAAAAACGGACCTCTCCGTGTTGGCCAAATTGCTGTCACAAGTGGAGGAAGGCTTCACTGTAAGCAAGTTATCCATGCAGTTGGTCCCAGGTGGTCTGAAGATCAGAGGGAGGAATGTTGCCTCAAGCTTGAAACAGCCATTATCAATATTCTGAAATACGTGAATGCTCCAGAGAACAATATTAGGTCTGTGGCCATTCCAGCACTGAGTTCAGGCATCTTCAACTTCCCCCAAGACTTATGTGCTCAAGTGATCGTACAGACTATAAAACATTTTATCCAGCTGGCCCCGTTGTTTGGCTACCTGCAAGAAATCCGCCTCGTGAACATTGACGAGATGACAGTGGAAGTAATGAGAAGGACTTGTGAGGAGTTGTTGGGTGGTAATGAGGTTCTGTCTCCAAGCAGGGCAGCGGATTTCATCAGAGTCCATGACCTCTGCTTGCAGATCAAAAGAGGGAATATAGAAATGCAGAAAGTAAGTTGTTCTGCTTACAAGAAATATGGTGGACCGGAACATGTAAACTACAGCTTTGAAGCCAAGGGGCGATTCCATTTGCACAACTGCCTTTTGGTCAGACCTTAGAAAATATCCTTTTTTGAACAACAGCTTCCAAACTCCCCCCAGTCAGCATGGCCAGTGTTTAAAGAGTAATTTTTTCAACCTGTGTTTTTGCTACTGCAGCTACAAGGCTGAAGGGATTGATGGCTTTTCTGCACTTCTTTGGTTTTAAAATGTTCAAAGAGCAGCATTATGTTATAGTCACTATCAAGTGCTTTAAAAGGATGGGCAAGTTCCCCCACTTTATACATGCCTTTGAGCCAAGGGTGTTTCTACTACATGTAAGCCAGGGAGTGCGTGTTCTTTAATGATGTTATTTCTTTAGTGAGTGGATTTTTTCCTTTCCTTTGTTTTGTTTTAATGTAACTGCAAAGGCAGGTCTCTTCTAAGGCTTTGTAGTTGACTACACACATGTCTCGGTATGCCCAGGATACTACTTGCAGGTCATGGAGAATTTTACCAAACTATTCACTATACCACTGGCATCCCAAGTGAACAGTATGTATTAATTTTTATGCTGTGGGCTTGTGTTCTTCACAACCTGCCTGCTGGAGAAAGGTTCTGATAATTTCCTGGAAGTTATCAAGCGTTATCAGAATGCTATATTTTTTTTGATGACACACACTAATCCAAAATTAAATGGTCTCAGGTTTGAAGTTATTCTCTTACAGACTGCTGTTATTATTAATTCTGTGGTTGTACAAGATGATCTCTCCCGAGGAACGGTTTCAAGAGCGATTCTCGAAAAAGCGCATCCAGATGTGCGAGAGCAATTTCTTGCAGAGTTACAGGAATATTCGTCAGAGAATCGAAGACTCATGTGCACAAAAGGATACAGTACTGACTCTGAGGTTTTGCTCCATGTGGAACAGCTGCCTTGTAGTGAAGGCAACACACAGGAGGTGATGTCCTTATTGGCTATCCTTTAAAAAAAAAACAAAAGTTTTAATTCTTTTGAGTGTAAAAGAACCCAGCTTCTATAACTCTACTTTTTCTCTAACAGGCCCTGAAAACCACCATCTCTAAATGGCTTTTCAAGGTACAGGAGTGGAAGTTTTCATCCATTTCTTTTCCTCCCCTTGGCATTGAAGAGCTGCGGTTACCAAAAGAGAATGTAGCGGACATTATGGTGGAGGAAGCCATACGCTTTGCAGAGGAGCATCCTGAGAAGAAGCTGGAAGTGTCCATTGTGATTCCCCCAAACGACAGTGATATTTATGAGGTAGGATAAATAATATTCATTGCCATGAGAAGAAGCAGTGAAATGCTGCCACATCTATGCCTATACTGTATTTCACACAAATGCACTTTTGTATAGTCAATCTGCTACTGCACTTTCTGTGCTAAAAGAAAGAAAACCTCATTTAGTTTGAGGAAGGCAAGCTGTTCAATTTATGTTGAGGACTCTTACCTCTGTCTATGAGGGTTTATTCTGTTTGGTCCCATTGTGCACATAGATCTAAAGCATGAAGAATGATACCGATTGAACTGCCAGAATGCAGTATGGAAAAGTTTGTGTCAACCAGGGACAAATTTCTCCGTGATCATTCCCCTAGAAATCATTACATGGGATAGTTAGTTTTACTGTCCTTTTTATAGCGGAAAATAATAAGTATTATCAGAGACTGAAGAGAAATCGTGATTTGCATGTCATCCATTACATGGGTGTACTTTTTTTTTTTAAAGGACTGGGTTAAAAAGCAACCATAGGCGAAATATTTTTCAGTATTATGCATGTCATGCATTACATGGGTGTACTTTTTTTTTAAAGGACTGGGTTAAAAAGCAACCATAGGCGAAATATTTTTCAGTATTAAGAGACAGGTGTAAAGAAACTATGAAGAGATAGAGAGCTGCTTTCAGTTTTCATGGCTGATAGCATTGATTGCATGGCACTTAAAAACATGGAAGAAACCATCACTCTTTTATCTTATAACAGTTTTTGTTGAGCGTAAATATTTGGAATGGACTAATTGATGATAGGAAAGAATAAAATGTGTCATCTGCAGATGAATCTAGTTTTTTTTATCTCATTCATCTGAATGGCATGTGATAATGATATCTTAAAACAGCGCATATAGAAGTTATAGAAAAACAGTAGTCTTCCTTTTGTTGTGGCAATAATTAGTACCTCACTCTTCTACATATTCATTCATTCATTCATTCATTCATTCAGAATATTTTTACCTTGCCTTTCTCCTTCAAAAGACCCAAGGCAACTATATTTGCAGAACTCAGAGTGGCTTACAGAATTTGAAATCTATCCAGAGGAGGGTGACAAAGTTGGTAAGGTGCCTGGAGACCAAGTCTTAATAAAGAAAATTTGGAGGAGTTTGTAATGATTAACCAGGCGGAAAGCTGTGATGTAATTGCTATCTTGCCATAGATGAAGGTCTCCCATAGATGTAGAAACAGATTATGTTTTGGTTTGTTGCTGAGGAGAGAATTGGAGCAAGTGGGTTAAAATTACAAGAGTTCTTTGAGTAAACATTAGAAGGACTTCCAGTTGTTGCATACTGATCAACTGTGGAAAAGACTGTTTTGGAAAGGAAACATTATTAAAAGAGTAGCCATAGGCGGTGTAGCAATTGATTTCTGCATCTGCAGGACTTACAAGAACTGTATATATGTGAATGGAGCAGACGTATCCCACCTTTGTTTCAGTTCTGCATAAGCTGAGGGCCTTCTCTGCTCTACTTGTCTCTTTTCTACCTGAATACCTATCAGGGTGAAGGCTGCCTCCACTCTAGTTGTGTCTGTTGTAGACGAACATCTGTCAAGATACCATGGAAACTTGGGCCAGCAAACTAGTGGCAGAGCTCCCCTGGGAGCAACCATATTGATGGGCAGAATCGATGGCTAGGCTAACAACAGCTTTGCCCTTATGGCTGCTTATTGCAGTATATTTCCTGGAAAGACCAGGGAATCTCTGTTGCATGGCAGGATAACAATCTGTTATCTTGGCGTCATAGGTGCTGCTTCCAGTAAGTGGGCAAGGGTGAACTCTTGAGTCTACCTGGAGAGATTAGCCTCTGCACCGACACTGAAGTCACTCAAAGTAGGTTGTCTGGGAAACTAAAATAGAGCCCTTTGTGATTATTGTGGTTAGAGTCTGTTGTGCAATAAAGTGATTGTTTTGCCAGATGAATTTCCAATTTGTCTGAGGAATACCATATTCAAAGTGTGTATCCACCTGGATATTTTATGTAAGTTAAATTGTCTTTACAGATAACTGATACTTGCCATAATGTGAGCTAATTTTACAGGTTTCACTTATACCTAATATTACAAGTGGTCTAAACCAGTGGTTCTCAAACTGGGGTCCCCAGATGTTCTTGGACTGCAACTCCCAGAAATCCTGGCCAGCACAGCAAGTGGTGAAGGCTTCTGGGAACTGCAGTCCGAGAACATATAGGGACCTCAGTTTGAGAATCACTGGTCTAAAGCAGTAGTCATGACATCCTGTTTATTCAAAAATGGTCTCTTTTCAAAGGTTTTCCACAGCAAGCTGATGTCAGTGAAAAACAATCTAGAAGAGAAGATGGACTGCAGCAATATGGATGCTATGGGTAATAATCAGTAGACAGGCTCAGTCAAACAGTGGGGAATGCAGTGTTTCCCAAAATATATGAGCAAAACTAGAGTACATATCAAGTTTATTGGGAAATTATGTACAGCTGGTGTGTGTGTCTGTGTCTGTGTGTGTGTTCCGGAACTGATTTATAGGAACCCTAACAAGGCTTTCAAAGTAAGTGAAATATTTAAGGAATACGGTGCTGCCTCGCAAGACGATTTTAATTTGTTCCGCGAAAATCGTCATTTTGTGAAAAAATAATCTTGCGAGGTTCCCTATCCATCGGTCTAAAAAAAAAAAAGTCTTGCGAAGCATTGGTCTCAAAAAAAAAACCCGTCTTGTGAAGCATGGTCATAGAAAAAAAGTCTTGCGAGGCACCATAGTGATAGCAATAAAACAATTGTCTTGCGGGTGTTTCGTCCCACGAAGCTATAAAACAATCGTCTTGCGGGTATTTCGTCCCACGAGGCAATCATCTAGCGAAAATACCACTGTAGTTTCACCAGTTCTATCCCACCCCCAGCCACTCTCCTGTGGTCAGGCAGGGATTTGAATCCAGGTCTCTTGAATCCTAGCACCTTACTTTGTTCACTAGAGCCATTCTCAACTTTTTTGGCCATAGCCATAAACACAATATGAAGGAAATATAGGCCAAAGCAGGACGGTGTAAGTTGTATAACACAATTTATAAGGTGGTGTGTAAAGATTTGTTTTCAGTCTCTGGCCCCTTTCAAATATGCCAGGCTTCCCCCGGAGGTCCCATGGCCTCCATTGAGAATGGCTGCACTACACCACACTAGGTAGTGCACCTAATTTTATTGAATTCTTAAAACATGAAAGCCATGACTACAGAGATTAAAGGGAATGTCATGGAAGGTGCAGGTTTTTGAAAAGCAGCTTGAAAGATGCGCACTTAGAATGAGTGGAACACGTTTTAAGATATGGACATGATTCAAAAACCCCTCATATATTCAATGATAGGTCCTTATAACTTACCTATGAGGAAGAGTGGTTCATTTACTTATTATATTTTTATCCTGCATTTTCACTAAAGAAAACTACTCAAGGTGTTTTTTTAAAAAATGTATTTAAAAAGAAGTTAATACAAATTAGCCAATAAAACCGTTGAGATGCCAGAAGAATTTAAGCCATTAAAATCATATTCACTTGACTTTGTTGGGGTTTCTGAGTAGACACATACAGGAGTTCCCTGTAAATAGTAGAACATATTATTTTAGGGGCTTCAAAGAGCATTTTAAAGGCTCTATCGGCATTTTGATAGACATTTCAAACAGCTGATCAACATATAAAAGGAACAACCCTTGTTTTTAAAACAAATTTTTGCTTTTAGTATGACATTCTGTGATGCATGCTTGTTTCAGTTTTGTCGGAAAAAAAGAAACTAAAGATTCTGTAAAACAGCTCCACAGAAAGACTCAGCTTTCAGGGTTCCCTGTTTCTGCCAAAAGAACTTTTCTCCCTCTGAGCCACAGCACTTTTCTGTGAACCCCATTCTCACGTTCATCCGTGGATTATATACTGTTGAGAAATCATATCAGTTTGGATTGAGGGCACCAAGATAATTATGTTCTTTAAAGGAAACGTGGCTTAGCAAGTGAGTCTGTACTCTGAATTACTCTGGTGGCTGAAATATGATGGATATCTACAAAAGCAAGGCTTTTTCAGTTGTGGTGCTGACCAGTGAATTACCCTACACAAGAGGAACCCCCTACTTCCAATGCTGAAGGCTTTTAGACAAAAATTAAAACCTGGCTTTTCAGAGCAGCCTTTGCTATGGACTGAGGGCTGCTTATGCTGTTTTATTTTGCCTCAGGGGGACATGGTGATGCTGTAGGTTAAACCGCAGAAGCTTCTGTGCTGCAGGGTCGGAAGACCAGCAGTTGTAAGATTGAATCCATGTGACAGAGTGAGCTCCCGTCACTTGTCCCAGGTCCTTGCCAACCTAGCAGTTCGAAAGCATGTAAATACGAGTAGATAAATAGGTACCACCTCAGTGGGAAGGTAACACTGCTCCATGTGTAGTTGTGCTGACCACTGGACTACGGAAACAGTCTTCGGACAAAACACCCACTCTATGGCTTGGAAATGGAGAGGAGCACCGCGCCCTAGAGTCGGACACGACTGGACTAAATGTCAAGGGCAACCTTTACCTTTACCTACCAGGATGTTTGTGTTGTGATTGTTTCTCCTTCCTTTACAGCTTTTATTATTTGTCATTGTATTTTTATTACTCTGTGGTGAACCGTTTTGATTTCTTTTGAAGATGAGAAGTACACCTAGTGTGGTATAGTGGTCAGAGTGATGGACTAGGACTTGGAAAACCTTGGTTCAAATCCTGACTTGGCCTTGAAGCATAGTGGGTGACTTTGGACCTATCACACTCTTGCAGCCTGACCTATCTCAGGATTGTTGTGAGGATGAAATGGGAAGAAGAAGAATGTATACTGCCTGGAAGACTGGTGAGGTGTAAATATAACAAATAGAAAAGAATAACTCGACATTTTAGCAATTTCACAGTAATGAAGTCTGTAGTATAATATCAGCATATTTCTGTATCTCATTCACAATTGCTACTTTTTCTATGTGTGAAAAATACAAATTATGTATCCAGTAAAACAACAACCATCACTTTTCCTTCTGCAGAACAACAGACAGGGATACAAGCCAATGCAGGATGTGAAAGAAACGGACCATTTGTAGAACTTATTGGTCACAGTCATGAAAGTGTGGAGGAAGCAGGACTGTGGCTCAGAAACATCATACAAGTTGAGGAAACTCACCGGATTGTTATAAGAAATTCTGATATTCTCAATCTTGGCAATGTTGAGCTGTCTCATCTTGATCAGGATTTTGGTATACTCGTACTGAAGAACTTGACTAAGGAAGGGGCAGTCCTAGAGATTGAAGGGTCCCCCCAAGCTGTTATTGATGCAACACTGTTGAGAAATCATATCAGTTTGGATTGAGGGCACCAAGATAATTATGTTCTTTAAAGAAAATGTGGCTTAGCAAGTGAGTCTGTACTCTGAATTACTCTGGTGGCTGAAATATGATGGATATCTACAAAAGCAAGGCTTTTTCAGTTGTGGTGCTGACCAGTGAATTACCCTACACAAGAGGAACCCCCTACTTCCAATGCTGAAGGCTTTTAGACAAAAATTAAAACCTGGCTTTTCAGAGCAGCCTTTGCTATGGACTGAGGGCTGCTTATGCTGTTTTATTTTGCCTCAGGGGGACATGGTGATGCTGTAGGTTAAACCGCAGAAGCTTCTGTGCTGCAGGGTCGGAAGACCAGCAGTTGTAAGATTGAATCCATGTGACAGAGTGAGCTCCCGTCACTTGTCCCAGGTCCTTGCCAACCTAGCAGTTCGAAAGCATGTAAATACGAGTAGATAAATAGGTACCACCTCGGTGGGAAGGTAACACTGCTCCATGTGTAGTTGTGCTGACCACTGGACTACGGAAACAGTCTTCGGACAAAACACCCGCTCTATGGCTTGGAAACGGAGAGGAGCACCGCGCCCTAGAGTCGGACACGACTGGACTAAATGTCAAGGGCAACCTTTACCTTTACCTACTAGGATGTTTGTGTTGTGATTGTTTCTCCTTCCTTTACAGCTTTTATTATTTGTCATTGTATTTTTATTACTCTGTGGTGAACCGTTTTGATTTCTTTTGAAGATGAGAAGTACACCTAGTGTGGTATAGTGGTCAGAGTGATGGACTAGGACTTGGAAAACCTTGGTTCAAATCCTGACTTGGCCTTGAAGCATAGTGGGTGACTTTGGACCTATCACACTCTTGCAGCCTGACCTATCTCAGGATTGTTGTGAGGATGAAATGGGAAGAAGAAGAATGTATACTGCCTGGAAGAATGGTGAGGTGTAAATATAACAAATAGAAAAGAATAACTCGACATTTTAGCAATTTCACAGTAATGAAGTCTGTAGTATAATATCAGCATATTTCTGTATCTCATTCACAATTGCTACTTTTTCTATGTGTGAAAAATACAAATTATGTATCCAGTAAAACAACAACCATCACTTTTCCTTCTGCAGAACAACAGACAGGCATACAAGCCAATGCAGGATGTGAAAGAAATGGACCATTTGTAGAACTTATTGGTCACAGTCATGAAAGTGTGGAGGAAGCAGGACTGTGGCTCAGAAACATCATACAAGTTGAGGAAACTCACCGGATTGTTATAAGAAATTCTGATATTCTCAATCTTGGCAATGTTGAGCTGTCTCATCTTGATCAGGATTTTGGTATACTCGTACTGAAGAACTTGACTAAGGAAGGGGCAGTCCTAGAGATTGAAGGGTCCCCCCAAGCTGTTATTGATGCAACGTTTGTAGTTGAATTCATGCTCCAGACTACAGCCAAGCAAGAACCCCTGAGGACAGATGGTATGTGGGGCTGTTCAAGCGATACTGCTTTGATAGCACAGGTGAATGTAGCAGCTAATCAGAGTCTGTTGAAGAACTGGCCTGACTGAGAATCTCCCTTGGGCAGAGTTCTAGCCCTTTATGGAACAGACTAGGGAAAATCCGGGGAGTCTCAGTTATAGGTTCAGAAACAAAAAGGTGCCTGGCCATGGTTTCAGGAGGTTCTAATTCACTCTTTGTCTTCTCAATGTAGGTTTCTGGGCCTCCTTCTGGGCTCTTAAATGACCGAGCCCTACAAAATTCCAATGGAATATTATCAGTGGACAGGATTGTGTGAAAGGCCAGTGAGGCTTTCTATTTTAAAAAAACAGAATTGCTTTGTGTTTTAGTGAGATGTTGCCAGCTGATGAAAAAGGAAATCCCAGGTTCTGGGATTTTCTCTTGCTTGGTGTCTCTATGTGAATGGCAGTGAGCAGAAGAGAGGATCCTGTAGAGTCTAGATCAATACTTTCCAACTTTGACTAACCCAAGTATTCTTAGACTGCAGCTCCCAGAAACCCCAACCAGCGCAGCTGCTGGTGAAGATTTCTGGGAGTTGCAGTCCAAGAATGGCTTGGGCCCTGGATACCTGAAGGACCACCTCCTTCCATATGAACCGACCCAGCAGTTAAGATCTAGCCGGGGGGCCCTTTTGTTAAAGGAACCTTTTGTGCAAAGATGGACATAATAAAGGACAAAAATGTGAGGGACCTCACAGAAGCAGAAGACATCAAGAAGAGCTGCCAAGAATACACAGAGGAATTATAGCAGAAAGATCTGGTTGTCCCAAGCAACCCAGATAGTGTGGCTGCTGACCTTGAGCCAGACATCCTGGAGAGTGAACTCAAGTGGGCCTTAGAAAGCCTGGCTAACAACAAGGCCAGTGGAGGTGATGGCATTCCAGTTGAACTATTTAAAATCTTAAAAGATGACACTGTTAAGGTGCTACATTCCATATGCCAGCAATTGAACAATATCAGCTGTGGTTCTGATGGCAATTTTTAGAATATACATTTTAATTGCATTTCAATTATTTTGCCCTTTTTTGTATTTTAAATGTTGTAAGCCGCCCAGAAACCTTTGGGTAGTGTGGGCGGCACGTAAGTTAAATAAATAACAAAGAAATAAATAATCACCTGAGCTACCCAAAATTGGGAACTACTGTTGTAGACCATCATGGCTGTCAGTATTGGTGTTGTCAATATGTAGCCTTTGCTATATGAAGCTTGCCATTGCAAAGCAATATCAGATCACTTCCTGGCATTTTAAAAAAAATCTTTTTTTTTTTTTTACTACCCCATTAGTGTTGCCACTCTCTGGGTGGTTCACAAGATACAATACCGTAAAATAATGAACTGGAACACTGTATGATACAAACAACAACAACAACAACAAACCCTGTTGCTAGCTAAAACGATTCCCACATGGCCCCTGCTTGTTTCAGCAAACAAAGAGCTCACGCTACGTGCCCCTCGGCTGCCACCAGTCGATTACATCAACAATACCTATTATTAATGATAGATGTCCAGGCCATATGTGATTTAAAAAAACCAAATAGAAATTGCTTATTGATACAGGTGTTGACAGAACAAGCAATGTTAACTGTTAAATATTCTCCTTTATCCACTCTCAACCACCACTCCTCTGCCCAACCTCAAAAACTCTCTCTGAATAACGTCAACTCTCTAACTAACTCTATGACTCTCCCTCCTCCTGCTGAGTCTCTTATATCTCATGACTCTGCCCCTCCAGCACTCCTGTTGGTCTATGCGGATAACATATGAATATTCATGACCTGGGAGGATGCCACAGTTCCCATGTAAAACAAGCATCTTTAAGGCCCCCTATCTTCTAAATCAGTGGTCCCCAACCTTTTTAACACCATGGACCAGTTGGGGAAGGCTGGGCACACTCGCATGCATGGGTGAAGTGGCAGGGGCGTTCACGCACACTCATGCACATGCGCAAAGGGCAGGGGCGCTCAGGGTGCACTCACGCACATGTACGAAGGGGCATACTCGTGTGCATGCGGGGGCGGTGGCCTGTCCGCGAACTGGTCCAGCCCAGGCCACGGACCGGCACCAAGCTGCGGACTGGGAGTTGGGGACACCTGATTTAAAAAAATAAGCTCCTCTGCAAAGAGGCATGTGTTTTGTCCAGATTTGGCAAGAGCAAGCAAGCCCATACGATCCAGAAATATGTTCCTGATGCAAAGTTATAACTTTGTCTGGATTGCCTCCTGCTGTCATTGATGCTTTATGAAATGCTATTTTGACCAGTCACACAATATCTGTGATGCACTCCTGTGCAGCTCTTGTTAAGCATCTTCCTATCTACATATGTAGGACCTTTGAGAAATTACTCATATCAAGAAGGACACGCAGAGATGACAAGTAAATACTGTTATCAAATCACTCCAATAGAGTCTTATCTTCAAGAATTCAAGGACAAAGAAAAACAGCTTGAGAAAGCTGGTCTTCAGGTTCTCAAGGTAAAGATATACAAATGATAAAATATTTTGGGAAGTGAACAGATGTACAAAATCAACAGGAATTTGGAAGGGCTAGATAAAAGTAATTGCATTAAAGTAGAGGTATAGATAAAAACATAAAATCTTGTTTGCAAATTAGAAAAACTTATTTATTTATTTTATTAGATTTATAGTTGCAAAGTAGAAAAGCTTTATTTATTTATTTATTTTATTATATTTATACCCCGCCCATCTAGACAGATAGTCTACTCTGGGGGGCAGAGTACTGTTTTTTTTTTTACTGGTTGCTTGTCCTCTTTTAAGCATAGCAGGCATTAAAATGCTAGAAGTATAAGGGTTGGATCCTCAGTTGCAAAGAGTCCCTTCTGCAAGAGGAAGGGACTCTGATCCAGCAGAGACCTTTGCTGGTATGCCTTCCTTTTCTTCTACTGGTGAAAGTATTGTAAGAGGAGACTTCCACTCATGAGAATGTTGCTACTAATTCAAAGTGCTGCAAGTCTCCAAAATATGAATTCGTAAAAAGCTAAGGATGATCAGGCCACAATTTGCTGTCACTGGCTATTTTGAAATATCTAGTAAGGAAGCATTGTTTGCACTTCATTACAGTTCTTGGCAAATGAACTACATAAGGAAGTATTCTTTATGCCTGGAATATGACTACATCTGTGTTATCTACAGGCGGTTCGTTACTTCCTTTTATACCTTTTGATGGTTAGGGACTGTGTTAGCATCAGAGAATTTTAAATCCCTAATGCCTAAGCAGTCCTCAACCATTGAGATATGTAATAGGAAATAAGAGTCTCCAATTAATATGGAAGGAACCCAGGAAGTAGCCCAATTAAAGATTTCCTCCTTTAATGACGGCAATTAAGACGATCTAATGGTTCAAAGGATAGCTATAAAAATGCTGAATTTGATTCTTCCCATATAGTACAACTAGTACACAATTATCTGTTGTACACTTTTTAAATTGCATTTTGTATATTTAACCATATGTTTTATGAACTGGTTATAAACTTTTTAAAATTGCATTTTGTATATTTTAGCCATATATTTTAAGAGCTGGTTCCCCGACCATAATAAATAAATTCTATTCTAAGGCAATGAAGGTACCAAACAAATTTTAAACAAAAAGAAGTGGCAAATGGTTTTTGCTTCCTGAATATGTTTTTTAAAAACTAAAATAAACATTAAATATCTGCTGAAAACTGGAATAGTAGCCAGAAATTCTAGCACAGATCTTTGATAGTAGATCATGCTGTTAATTTTTAGAGGCATATTGATGGGGTGAATATGGCTTCTGAATACTAGATAAACTAAAAATTGGTCCTTGGCCTTCCTGAAATTACACCCTCACTCTAAAACAACACTTTTCCATTACACCATTGCAGTATTAGGCTGTTTCATGCAGTGGGCAACTCTGTTGTCTTTTCCTACTGAAACTATTGGACTCAGTTGCTCACTAGCTCTCCGTGGTGTTTAAAATCTGCTCTTGAGTATAGATGGGCATGAACCAGTCCATCCCAGTTTGTAAAGGCAGCAGCAAGTGTTGCTGCTCCCCTCTCCTGCCTCCTCAGATGATCATCAATTTGCATGCTTTTCCCACTTCTTCAGCTTATCTCCCAGTCATGAGCAAGAGCATAGACTTCTCTGCCTCACCCTTTTGTCTGAGTGGGAGATCAGCCAAGAGAGCGGGGCAGAGAAGCCTGAGCTGTTGCCGGAACTGGAAGATCAGTTGAGGAGGTGCAGGAAACTAGCACACTGGGCTTGGTGAGTGGCTGATTGAGCCAGAGGAGGCGGGGTAGGGGACTGCTGCCTTTACAAATTCGGATGAACTGGGATGAACCAGTTTGTGCCCATCTCTACTCCTGAGAGTTTCCAACCCCTCTGGCCTATGTTTGTAGGGTATGGGCTGTAGAAAGGGCTGCCTTCTTATTTAGGAAACAGCTCCCATCTGTTGGAAGCATGTTATTAGATACTGCCGTTTATTTTTAAAAAGCCGACACCCCCATCTATTTAAATTACCAGTTTTACCAAAAGCCAGTGTAGTTTGTGTTTTTAGTAGAAGTAGCAGTAACGAGTTTTGTGGCATCTTGAGTTGTATTTTGGCATGTATCTTTGTGAATTATGCAGGTACACCAGATATGTGTTCGCAGTTACCAGTCCTCTACTAGACACAAAGGTATTGCTCATTTTTATTGCAGATAGAGAAAATATGCAATCCCTTTTTAGAATTTGCTTTCCGAAGGATTAAACGAAAAATAGAAGGAAAAAACACTGGAATGCCAGTATGCCACAGGCTATACCATCGTGTGCCAGCTCAGTATTGTAGTCTGGTGTGCCAAACTGGATTTCAGAAAGCTTACTCCTCTCTGCAAGGTAATCATCCATTCATGTGATTATTTGATGTACAGGTATCTGTTTTGAGTGCACTTAACAGAGTTCTTTTTAAAAGAATTAGTATTAAATAGTTCTTAACATTTTCATCCTGTAAGTATTATAATTCCTCTCTGTAAGAAGAGAAATAAATTGAATTTTCACTCTTGGGTATAAATCAAGTGAAAGAGCAAACTGGATCATAAACTTCTGTATTATCAAAATTATTGTATTTCCCAATAGTGAGTCATTATATCTGTGAGTTCCCAGTATGCCTCATATGCTTTCTCAGTTCTTATTTGACTCAAAATTCTATTCAGCATGTGACTGAAAATTATGTTCATCAGTTATCTGCACAACTATTGTAAAGAAAGCATGACCCTTTAAACAGACTGTGTTGTGTTGTCTTTCAGATGAGAAATATGGAACTGGCGTCTACTTTGCCAAGAATCCTGGGAACCTTGTAGATACTCAAGAAAAATGTGAACTGGATCACTTGATCTGCCTGTTCGAGGCAGAAGTTGTAACAGGCTCATATACAAGGGGCAATCGAAGCTTTGTTGCACCCCCTGTAATTAATGCAAGCAACATGAAACTCTATGACAGTGTTGTAGATGATATTCACAACCCTGAAATTTTTGTAATTTTTAATAGGGAACAAGCCCTACCATTGTATTTGCTAACTTGCTCTCTACTCTGGAATCCACCACAGAAGACCAATTTTGAAACATCAGTCCAGAATCTATGAGTCCTTGAAGTTCATCAGAATGCAAGCATGAGGTCTAGTGTGCAAGAATTTAGAAACATACATGTTGCAGTTATTCATTGCACTGATAAAATCTTGCTTCATTAGAATCTCGCTAACTGCTAAATAAGCAATTTCACCAACAGCAGTTAAAATGTTACAATTTTATTGAAATGAGACTGCTGCATTCATCATACAAACTCTTTTAAATAAAAATTCCAACTTTAAACCATTTGTACAAATTATACACGTGTTTTATGTGCCTACTGATCATTTGTTGTTGATAGGTACTCAAGATGCATATTTTTTGTAAATTTCAAGTTTTACAGGAATTTGATATTTACATAAGTAGTGAATTTAATTCATTGCTATTTAATGATTCTGTTCACTTGAACTATACAATAAATATTGTTATTTCTATTACATATATCATTAATTTTCAGTGTGGAACACAAATCCAACTGTATCACTGTATACATGTTTAAAGAGTGGTAGGTTAATGACTATGACAGAATTTCAGGCTATGACTTTAGGACAAGACTAATTGCAATTACACTGGCATATGTGGCACAAATACTTGAAAATAAAGATGTTGCTATATAAGATACTTTAACAGAGGAAAACCTTGTTTCAACACCATGATGCTGCATTACTTAAAGGAAATTCAACAACTATTTGGCTGATATGTCTTCTTTCAGGACAGATATATTTAAGGCTTTTATTATTTTCAATATTCCTTTTTAAAATTGAAAATAGGCAAATGAATGATTCAAGATACAACGGACTCCTTCTGCCTTCTAGACATAACCTTTCTGAACTTGTATATGGTTATGAAGATGCTGTTTTATTTACTTGTCATTGGTTTTGTGTATTGACTCAATGTTTCAATGGCCTTTGGCTAAAATTTGAATAAAAAATAGAACTTGAATTTGAACTTTTCTGATGTACATCCAGCCAAACTCTCCCCTATTTGTGCAGGATGTTTCTGCCTAATGCACAGAAATATGGATGGAGGGCTTGATAAAAAGTGGGATGGATTACTATGTATGAGGCGCTGGCACAATGTACCATAATAGATCATGTCTAGATGTCTGTTTAAGTGACAGCTAACAAGGAAAAGGTCTTCCAGGAAAACAGATGGCTCAAGTATTATTGAGCATAGTTCCAAAAAGGTTTACTAGAAAACAGCAAGTCATTACTTCAGTTTTTTTAAAACAGCCAACATGCTTAAAGATGATTTGAAAAGAACTAGACATTCTAATAAGAACACAATATACTACTTTGTTCTGAGCTTTATTTTATTAAAGTGTTCCATATAAATAATTTCTACATTAGTCCCTTTTAGTGTTGTAATATGTATACATCTTATACATATAATTTACAAAATAGCTAGCAATGTTTCAGATTATACATTACATTCTCATCTGGCTTTCCATTAATTTTCATATACAGAAACTAGAAAAGAACACAAACTAAAATATACTAAGAACTACATATTAAAGTTGTCAATTACCATAGTAACTGAACATCCCTGATCTTTATATCTGCAGTGGTAAGAAAAACAGAAAGCTATTCCAAAGCTTCAGGGATTTCTCCATCATCTACAATAAGTGTATGAAGAATTCCTTCCCTTCTTTTTCCACTACTAACAGCTTTAATGCAACAACTATGATTTCCAATATTGAAATGTGTTTCTGTACCATCTTCTACAAATTCACCCTGGTAAAGGAAAGGAAAAATGTATGCATCTTGGAAAAACTACCCAGACATACTTATATGCTACATGTATTCATCAACCACCAATTGGTTCTTCTATATTCTAAAGCAAAGCACAGACAACTGTTCTTCAAAGTGATCACAAGCCCCTGGAAATGTTATACTGCAGTATAGAGTTTAAGTTTTGAACACAAAGCTCTATATTGACCAGACTGGTACAGTTCATGTATGAACCTGATCAGTGTCATATTCCCAAAGCTTATTGCTAACAATGTGAACAGGTTGTTTAAATGTATGAGAAAGTCCATTTTCCTCATCTCAGACCGGTGGCCAGATGTGTGTTCTATTTATGCAATTCTATGTATGTCTTGTTAGAATAAATCCTAGCATATCCAGGTGTGAAGACTAGGAAATAGGATAAATTAACTGGGCTAGTCTTCAAGAGTTGGATAGTTTTTCTATCCTTTCCTTCATTGACTAAAAAAGTTTTTCTGCCAGCCTTATGGGAGAAAATGTAAATCATACAAATCAAATGAGTACAGTTCTCTTAGGTGATCCAGGTCCGTGAGGTCCTTGTATCCAGTTAGACATCTTTAGATTTTGGAAATACGTTACTGTTTCAATTTTAAAACAACAGGAATAACACTCTGGGAAATCCTGATGACCATCACATGTAAGACTGAGTTGTATCAACAGGTTTTTGCATACAAAATCTATTTTTAATTCATCTATAATTTTTTTCTTTTACTGTTAAATGCAGTGTAAACTCTTTCAAAATACACCTAGCTCAATTGTTTATTGAATACTGTGCCAAATAGTTTTCAATATGTCAAGATGATTCTCTGTTATCAGGTTAATCTTCTACAAAAGATTTTTATAAGAATATTTTAACAAATTGTATCTAGATGCCTTCTGAATATTCTGCACTCAAATTTTTATAGAAGTGTTGACGTGCTGAGGGTCAGAGGAAAAAGACTGGACAGGATAAGAAAATTAAAATATGTTGTACTCCCTAAGGCCACTGAAAGGAGGAATTGATCAAACAAACATTTCCTTGAGGGTTTTTTGTTTGTTTGTTTTTTAGCAATGTATAGAACGGCTGTTACATTAGTCTTTGTTACAGCAGAAACAAGTAGCCTTGTGTGGAACTCCAAAATTGTTATGACACAAGCTCTTATCTCTGAGTGTATTTCCTAAGATGTACAGTGGACCCTCGACTTACAGACTTTTCGAGTTACAGACTTCTCTGGCTGCAAAATGTAGGCTTGATTTGCAGCTGGAGAATCGACCTACAAACAAAACAAAAAAAAAATCCAAAATGGAACAAAAACAGAACAAAAATGGCCGGTTACGGATTAATCGGTTTTCAATGCATTGTAGGTCAATGGAGACTCGACCTACAGACTTTTCGACCTACAGCCACAGTTCCAATACGGATTAATTCCGTAAGTAGGGGGTCCACTGTATTAAATGTTATCACTTAATATATGTGCAAATACATGTGCACATGAGTTGATGGATATATTAGAGTAGTTTGTGAGTTCAGGGAGTTATTAAATGCAAGAAGTACAGGTGATGAGAAATGAAGTAGGAGTTTGAATGTATACAAAATAGGGGAGTTTGAATGTACAGTGGTTCCCCGCTTGATGCTGTAATTGCTTCACGATGATGTTTGTGTGATTGCTACTGCGATCGCAAAACGATATTTCAAAGGGCGATTTTCGTTTTATAACGATCGGTTCCCTGCTTTGGGAACAGATTGTTTGTATTACAATGATCTAAAAACAGCTGATTGTTGGGTTTCAAAATGGCCACCCACTGTGTAAAATGGCTCGCCGCTGTTTTCAGGACTGATTTTTTTCTTTATAGGCACTGGAAAATGGGGAAAATGGCCGCCCTAGGGAGGATCTTCGCTTGGATGATGAGGTATTTCGCCCATTGGAATGCATTAACTGGTTTTTAATGCATTTCAATGGTTTCCCCCCCCCCGCTTGACAATTTCGTTCTACAGCGATTTTAACGGAACGGATTATTGTCGTCAAGCAGGGCACCACTGTATACAAAATAAGTTATCTCCTATCAATATTGTTTTGAAAAGCTGTTGTGCTTTTCAACAAAACTGTGTTTTTACCTGCTCTCTAATTTTATAAAACCTAGCTATCTCTATATTTCAGTTGTCTTAATTCTGTACATGTGAGTGGTCTACACCATGCAATTTGTTATTAATTTTCTTCCACTGTTTTCACTTTGAAATTAATATTCTTTATAATTACATACCGCCGTTTCCACTTTTTGACCATTGCACCAGACATCCATTGTGTCTTTCTCTGGAAAAAACACATGCAAAATAACTGCCACATGATTTATTATACATTGGCTGAAATCCTATTGTTTTCCTTAGTATGTTGCACTAGAGCAGATCCATTTAATCAATTTCTTCATAGTTACATTGATTCAAAAGGGCCTACTCTAGTTGGAACTTAACACACTAAACTCACAACTATTATAGGCCAATTTGAATAAGTAGAACTTAAAGAGGAGTTTACTAATCAGATCCCCAGATTCAATTGATTTCAGTCAGTTTCTATTTAATTTAAGCATGATTGCAAAGAGATTTTTGGGGAAAAAATTAAAATTGCAGGTCCCTCTTGTAACAATTCTTTCCCATAAACTCTGATTAAATGTCCCATAAACTCTCCAGGACTATAACTATATTTTATAGCCTATTTTTTCTCTTAAATATATAAAGTTCAAACTTTGCTAGATAAAAAACACATGCAAAATAACTGCCACATGATTTATTATACATTGGCTGAAATCCTATTGTTTTCCTTAGTATGTTGCACTAGAGCAGATCCATTTAATCAATTTCTTCATAGTTACATTGATTCAAAAGGGCCTACTATAGTTGGAACTTAACACACTAAAGTCACAACTATTATAGGCCAATTTGAATAAGTAGAACTTAAAGAGGAGTTTACTAATCAGATCCCCAGATTCAATTGATTTCAGTCAGTTTCTATTTAATTTAAGCATGATTGCAAAGAGATTTTTGGGGAAAAAATTAAAATTGCAGGTCCCTCTTGTAACAATTCTTTCCCATAAACTCTGATTAAATGTCCCATAAACTCTCCAGGACTATAACTATATTTTATAGCCTATTTTTTCTCTTAAATATATAAAGTTCAAACTTTGCTAGATATGCTCTTAGATTTCCACTAGATGTATTCTTAAATTTCCAGTAAGAACAAGAGAATATAATCCTATGAGCATCTATGCAAGGGTACATGCCATAGATTTAGGTAGTACAGTACAGTATTACTTCTCTTGTTTGCCCCATTCCTTTTCAACTCCTTTCCAGCTGTCTTCACTAAGGAATCCAAATTCTGCACAAGAAATAATAAACCTTTATATAAAACACTCATTTTGCATCTTTCTGTAATTTCTAATTTTTAAAATATTGATTTTGCTAATCATAAAGAGAAGCAAAAAGTTGCACGTGTCAAACTAAAGCACCACAGCAAGGCCCAAAAAACATTATTCAGCCTTTCCAAGCTCCCTGGGATTCCAGCATTATAGCCTATAGAGATGTACCTTAACAGCATATATTTGGAGGCAATAAAAACTTGCTCCCACTCCTGCCCTTTAAAAAAAAAAAAACAGTAATTCTGTTCACCAAATATATGATTGTGCTTTCCCTGCATTTCCATGTGCCAGGGGGAAGAGAATCACCAACACTTTGGCAATATGCATTCTCAAGGCCTATTATTGTAGCCACCAGTGTTCCATGAAAGAAAAAAGTGGCCTTGTCCATGAAAATTTTAAATATAGCAGTTAGTCTTTAAAGTGCCACAACATTTTGGTCTTTTTTTCATGTTTTTGCCTGAAAGGAAAAAAAAAGTTCAGTCTCCAAATTGGGAGTGTGGTTATTTTGCTAAGCAGCACAAGGCTCCTCTGAAAGAGTTAATTTCCTTTTTCATCTGGAGGAAATGGTTTGGTTTTGGAGGTTCCTGGAGCTAGAAGCTCCCTTAAACTCCCTGTCAACTCCCAATGCAACAGCACACACAATCTAAAGTCTGGAAATGTAGTTTTACAGACAGAAATAGTTTTATCAGTAGAATGGGAGAGAGCTAATTTCCTCTCTCCCATGCCTTCAGGAATTGCCCTGGAGGGCTGGGAAGCACATATGGACCTAAAAAGTATGGATAACATCCTCTTTTTAAAAACTAGATGTTAATAGGGATCACATGGTTTGGCAGCTGGCGCAGACCCTGGCAAAGGGTTGTTAATACCTTGAACATGTTAGTTGCTTCAGCAGATAACACTAACAAAATCATTTTGTATCCTACTTTATTACTGTTCTGAAAGTATGGAAACAAATAATCTTAAGACAATGCCATAGAAAACAACACTCTATGAAATAAGACAATGCTACTAACAATACATCACACAATCACAGAATTATTACTACCTTACCAGGTCAGTTTAGTTTAGAAAGCATTTAGATTTTCATCCTGATCAGAAAGGCTGAACAGAAAGTTGCTAGGACACTCTAGTAAGTTTGTTTTAACTTTCTTTTTATGAAAGGGATCACAACAAACAATATATCAGTGATCTACAGAGATTATTAAAACACAGCTAAACAAGTGTTTTAAACAAAAAAGAGCCTCGTGGCGCAGTGGTTAACAACTTACCTAAAACAACACGAAAGTCTGTACCATCCAGGTGTAACACCCAAGTGTTGGTTGTTTTTGACCTGTTCTCCATATATTTCTTAAGGCTCTTTCCATCAATTTCCAAAGTATATTCATATGCAAACCCACTGACTGCATCAATGTTAATAGTAGCCTTTGTTTTTGATGCACCAACAGTAAATGTTTCTTTTCCCACTAATTTGAACATCCATTCCTTTCTCATTATTTCCTGAAAAAAGAAATATATACATATATAAATAAACAGTGACTTTACTATTACAGTGCTAAAAGCATGAGCTGACATTTAATGCCTTTTCATTTATTTTATAAGAACAAAACAGAAAGACAAAAATCTTGGTATTAAACACACACCTGGACTCATTTTTTCCTATTTAAAGGTATTACTACTTTGGATACAGTGGTATAACATAATCTATTATGAGAAACACATATTTTCCTTACAGTACCTTACTCCTTCCCTCCCTAGTAACCATTTATATCTACCAATTATGAAGGACAGTGCGGCTACAATACAATATCAGACACAAAATGCAGTAGATTATTCTGAGCAAGTGAACCTGCACTTGCAGTCTTCTGATGCACCCCCAGAAATGTATGGACGAACTTTGGCACCTAGTTTGGCTGACAAAAAATGAGGATAAAATGACCTGGGACACCCCTCCCCATTGCATAAGTCTGATCAGAAACAGTTCCATCATTGGATAGCAGTATCTTGCCTAGCACAGCTGATTTGAAAAGACAGCAGCTGATTGAAGTTTCACTATTTTTTAATGACAGGGGAGAGGATCTTTGTTCTATTTTTTACCTTAGACACTATTTTTGACTCCACTAGTCTCATGTGTATTATAAGAAGAGGGGAGATCACTAAAATAAATGTTCCTGCTTTATTTCTGTGCGATAAATGGGGTTAGAATAGGTTCCATATCTTTAGGATCTGAAGGCCCCTCATTCCCAGACATAACAGCTCAGGAGGGTCTAAGCTACACCCACCCTACAGTTAGTTAATGTAGTTAATTCATATCCTAAGTTATAATAGGGGGGGAAGGGAGAATAGACTAAGAAAAGCCATCTCCTAATCAAACGAGTAACAGGATTAGCAATAGGCCTGCTAGTTTATCCAACAGATCACAGCATGTTTCTCCCACTCGTTGTCATAACCATTAGGATTGCTAAGGATTTTCAAATAATTGTGTGTACATAAGAATCCTACCTTTCCATCTACATAGATAACTCGTTTTCCTGAGGTAGTCCCATGTTCAAACTCAATTTTGTGAACACCATCACTTAAAGCTACTTCCCAGATAGCCACCAAGTCTGTCATTCTGTCTAGGTAACTGTAGTCAGAACTGCAGGAATACAAATACAAGTACAACTAATGAAAATGTAGTCCACAATCCAGAGAGCTCATTAAGTAAGTACAAAAATCTGTCTATGTACACTGGGCTTTTTATCCATACAATTATTCTACATTCAAGTATGTTTTGGAGGTACTTTCAAATTTTGACAACAGGCTGTACAGTACAGTACAAAGATTTTTTTGAACATAGGGAACTTAAAACTGCATTACACTTAAAGACATGATATACAACTTTCTAAATAAGATCTCAGTTTAGATGTACTGTCATCTGACTTCCATACGATTTTGCAAAATATTTGGAAGGAGTCTCCCCACTAGTCTCCAAATTTCCAAGCGCAAAACACTGAATAATGAATTTATATTAGGAATTGAAAAATGTTTAGAGAATAAGAGATAGAACAGACAAGAACAGTACATTTAGAATGACATAATAATGACAATTATGTGTTGTCAAATCAATTCCCACTTATGGTTACCCTTTCCAGAATGTTCTAGGTATACAGTACACACAAGTGGTTTATCATTCCTTTCTTCTGGGGCGCCCTGGGACTGCGCAGCTTGCTCAAGGCTATGAAGGCTGGCTCTTCTCCCAAGAGATATAGTATGGAATTGGACTCTAAACATCTGACTCTGCAGCCAGAGATCTAAACTACTAAGCTATCATGCCACTGTGTTATATATACACAAGTGTTTAAATAAACTTCTTCCTACATCCAGTGCCACTGTGTTATAGATACACAGGTGTTTAAATAAACTTCTTCCTACATCCAGTAGGTTCTTTTTTATTTATAGAAGTATCCCTTTAATCTTTATGCACTATAAAATGCTATACAGTAATATCAACTATGTTAATAACAAAATTTTAATGATCCCTGACCAAAGAACAATTGCGGCAATTGGCTAGTTCACCTAACAGTTTAATTGTCTAATACATATATTTAAATTCTAAAGTATATCAACACATAAATGGTTATGTTTCTCAAGAAATGCAAAAATTATTTTATTTAAAAGGATCTCAAATTAACATTGTTTATATGCATATTGCAGTGGGTTAATTATATGAACTATTTTATTGTCAGCAGTTCGGTCACTCTTCATTTCTGAGAAGGCTTCCCCACACCTCTTATACTGGAGTATTTTTTACCTCACATCATCTTCACAGTCATTACTCTCATCACGAGATGCCATAGTAATCAAACGATCTTTAATCCAATTAGCAGCAATAAAAGAAAAAAAGCAAAACACTGGTAGCAGCAATGAAAATTTCACACTAAAACTCCATACATATTAAAACACAATCCTCTTCACATTTTCCCTTCTTGAAGCACTATTGTTCCGTTTCTCTGCTTGTACAATTAAATGCTGGCCAATTTTAAATGTCTTAATGATGGCAAAATACAAAACAATGGATAATATAAACAATTTAGATTTATAGATAAGTATTTCTAATGTACTGTATTGTTTCACTACATTTCTAGCTGAACTTTATTCATAAGAAAGAAAACACCTTGAGGTCTTTATGCAAAATCCTGAATGAAGGTGGATAATTCCTTTATTAGATTACTAAATCTCAAAAATAAGGTAGTTTCCTAGTCTTACAGTATTTGAAAGCTGGTGAATTTCTGAGAATTTCTGAGAATTTTTCTAGTAAAGATCACCCTTGGTTTTGGTTAAGGCCACAACCTGAACCCCTATTACACTAGTGTAGCGTTATACCCTAAAGTTCATAGGAAGTTATGATCACACATAGGAAGTTATGATCACAACCAGTTGCACAACCGCATGAAACTGCACAACTATTTGTACAACTAGGCCCACAGAACTAATTCCTGGATATAACTTCCACTTTGGTGCACATTTTGCAACAGATTATGCAACTTCAAGTTATGCAGGTGTAGCTACGCAACAAGTTTTTTGCCAATGTTTCTCAAGTAAAACAATCTCTGCAAATAAGTGTTGACTCCATAACAATTTTTATAAGCCCATTGATCAAGATATTCCTGCAAGCAGCAGTTTGGGATGCAGTGATGACTCAAAATAGATCTTGATTATCACAAAAGAATGGTGCCAGAAATAATGAAAACATGTGCTCCTCGCTACTGTGCCAAACAGCAATTATAAACACATCAAACTTGCTTATTGGCCTAAATAAATCAAAGCGCACACTGACAGCAGGTGCACTATGTACAACCAGGACTTAGAGCTTCCCAGTCAGCATCAAGTTTGTCTTCTCTGGATTCCAGTTAAGTTTTTAACTTTCATTCCCAACACTAGTTCAGAACAAGTTACAGAAATTTAGTATCAGATGCCATCACCATGCAAAGTGTACAATAACTGTCTGGCCAGTACAGTGAACATAAGCAAGAGTCTTGAATCACCTTAAAGGCTACAATATTCTTAATGCACATGCAAGATTTCATCAACTTGAAGCAATCTCCTTTAGCCTGCGAAAACTTACAGCATAATTAGTATTTATTTTGAAGTGTCATTTTGATCCATCTGCAAAGCTTAGGATGGCTTCTGTGGGGGCTTCACAAAGGTTTTAAATAACACAGTGTCAGAATTGATTTGTGAAACTTTCTACTACATTGCCTATTGAGCACAGCATCTCCAAACAGCCATCTTCTGGCATCACAAGAAGCACAAGCACCAAAGCCCAAACTCCTCTTAGATGTTCCAGATGGTGAAATTAGATGTCACGGTTCACAAGAGGAAATGTTATGAAAAGATCAAGGAATATCAACAGGAAAATAGCCCTTTTAAAAATTCCCCTCAGAACAGCTAAAGCAATCCATATAACCAGTTTGAAAGCCAAACTGGAAAAAAGGAAGGATGCACTTTCCCAAAAGTCCTCAGTTCTCATGGTGGCTGGTCTATTAGGCGATTGTGGCATTTCCCCAACTCAACCTCAGGTTATGCCCAGCCTACCTATTCTTGTCAATCTCTTTACCAGAGATAGGAACTGAGGCTCTCACTTCTGCTCCCTTCCTACTAAAGTCGCAGCCTCAGCCCATTCTACACGAGTCTGTGCATTAGGCAGAGAAGAGAAAAGGGGAGCAAGAACATAAGGCTGTCTCCCCTGGCACTACCCATATCTGGCTGCTGCATCTCCTGCCTCATCACATATCATGGACAACAGCCACCACTGTCCACATTGAATCAACCTTCTTAAAAAAAGGAGTTTTGTAGTCTATGCAGTTATCAGTCAATCCACCAATCTGTTTTGTATAATCTAGCTGATCACAGCTCTTTAAGATTGCAAACAAAAAGAATGTACATGTTGCTTGTTCCAGCAGTCTACCTCTATAGAAATCCATAGGGGATAGTCTGTGCCTATCTGGGCCACCAGAGAGATTTGTGCTGATATATTAGTGTTTATACCAGAGCTGAGGTGGTGGAGCTTAGTGATGGCAAAAACGATAGCACCAGTAACTGACCTACATTTTACAAAGCACATTTTGGAAAGAAAGGGAGATGTTTACGATACTGTCTGTTTAGACACAAAAATGTATGAACAGAAAAATATATGCTCAGAATGTAGCTCAATCTGTATCCAGAGAATTTTTAGATCTACTAAATAAGGATCACTAGAGTTTCGAAAGAAAGTGTGGGTTTATGCAGATAGAGCATTTACTCCCCAAAACATACCTGGGGCAGCACACTATTGGTGTTTTCCTCTCTTCCACATGATGTAAGGAATTTCTTAGTTCAAATGGTTAAAAAATCTCTGATATCCTGTGATTTCCATCTTAAAGGCTAGTTTTTTAACAGCTGTTTGTCACAAAGTAGGGGCTGAATTCAGCACTATGACACTTTCCATTCAGTACACTTCTGGTTTCCTGATCAGAAGCTTTCAATTTACAGTACAATCAACTACTGTACTATGGGAAACACAAAAAATGCTCCAGAAAAACACTGCCAGGGAACTGCTTTCTAAAGTATCTTTTAAAAAGGGTTTCCCTTTAAAAAAATTTCCCTTTTTTCTTAGGAGGGATAGCGAGTACTTTAAAAGATGTTGGTTTTGAAAGAAGAGTGTGGATGAGAAATCACTGAAGCTCTGTCTTTTTTCTGTCAAAAACAAACAAACAGAAGACTGGTGACTAGGGCTAAAGAAAGGAGGTACTAGCTTAGCAAGATGACTGACACTTCATTCTTGATTAATCTGAAATAAAACTGCTTGTATGGTTAGATTCACCCTTGCACAGAGACTGAAACAGAAAACTGCTCTGGTTATAGAAGGGCGATTACAATGCATAAAGACTTGTTACCAACACTTGTGTATTTCGATTTGCTTTCTGGGGAGTGATGGGATTTGAGCAGCAAATAAGCATAAACTCTTGCTTCTAGGGCACTAAACGTTTTCACAAACACATACACGATCATACGGATTAACTACCTAACCATTAAAAAAAAACCACACACCTTAATACGACCCCCCCGCACCACAAAAAACCTATTTAAGAGAACCCACACGAGCTACTAGTACAAAGGCTAGAGACCCCGTTCTTAATCCGGATCCGCACCGATGGAAGTTGCGGACATGCTACTATGAGGGTTTCCACCTAACGGTCCTAGCCTTTTTATCTACCTCTACGCCAGAGCAACGGACACACAGGAGGAGCGACCGAAGGGGGAGGAGAGGGACGGGTCTACCTGCCCCAGAGGCCGGCAGGAGGGCCTCCCAAGAGTAAGGCCTCTTTTCTGGGGCCGGCGGGCTACCTGTACTTATGGCGAGCGTACGGCACTTCAGAAAGCAGCTTTTTCTTTCTTTTTTGCCACGCCCGGTAAGGAAAGGAGAGTAACCGGGAGGTCGTGGGAGCTGCGTGTCTACTTTCCCCTTGTAACTCCGCGGCTTTAACTCTGCGCGCAGCTGCCTCCTCTCGCGTCTCTTACGGCCCACAGCTTCCAAAATGGCGGCCGGACCTCGAGCAGGAGAGCAACAGGGAGCGCCTGGACGGCGGCGGACGCCCAGCAACGCAGCGACGCCAAGCAACACACCTGGGGCACGCTGCTCCCGCCAGGCCACCCTCCGTCACCGGACGGCGGGTCTCCTCACCGAGCGGACTTCGGATCCGCCTCCCTACGTTGCGCCGCCTCTGAAACACAGAGGCGCCCGCCCGACTCTTCCCAACCAAGTCTCGCCTCTTCCCAAATTCTTCCTTCAGGGCTCCTCTGCTTCTTGCTTCTTCCGTCGGCTTTGCTGCGGTCGTCCTTGCATTATAGCCCGGTCCGACTGTGTTCAGCGGGACATTTTCGGGGCAGGGGTAAAACTCCTCGGTTCTAAGCACACTAACTGGGAAGTTAAATGCTTGGAACTCAGTGCGTTACCTCCAAATACACACATAGAGGATGTTCCTTTTAACCACCTGCTTGGTACTATGAGATTTTTTTCTGGATGCACTCTTCTTTGACAGTTAGAAATGGGTGTTCAACCTGGGATAGAGTGTGAATATTACTAAAAAAAGGGCCTTCTAAAGTCTGATGCAGAGTTGGGGGGGGAGCCTCCTGAGCAGTATAGTAAAGATCACAGGAGCAACCAGCACAAAGGGCCTTCACCTCTTGGAGACTACTGTCCAATCCTTAAAGAAAGAGGTCCTCCTATCCCTAGACATCTCGTCAGTTTAAGACATGCTGTCCTAGTGGTTCCCACACTCTGAGGCCCTAAAATATCCTTGAACTGCAACTCCCAGAAACTCCAGCTAGCACAGCCATTGGTCACGACTTCTCCAAGTTGCAGACCAAGAACATCTGGGGGCCCATATTTGGGGATCACTGTGTAAAATACATCTGTGGCAAGGACAGGCTCCTCAGAAGTAAGTCCTACTGAGGAAACTGGGCAAAGGGTTTTCAATCTCATCTTTCAACAAAGAATGCTTGGTACCAGCAACAGACACATTCAGACGTTGGTACGCCAAAGAACTCCAAAGTTTATTAAGAATTCTGGTAACTCCCTCACACAATGCTATTTTTAGACTTATTTTAAGCTAGTGTGCGAGGGTTTTGTGTTTTGAAGACACGCAACCCTCATACACAAAAGGTGTGCTTCTGGAGAGTCCCAGTGCTTTACTGCCACCTCATCTCATTTTTCAGCTTTCTTCAAACAAAGAAAATGGAACAAAGCACCCATTCATGAGCAGGTTTGTGCCACGAATAGTTTGCTGGCTGAGAAAAAGGACAAGATGCCACTCCCTCCTACTCTCTCTTGTACATACAGAAGCTACCTCGACTGTCAACCGATTCTTACTTCAACTCTGGAATCAGGACACTTTCCTCCATCACCCTGAGGGTAGCTGTCAAGCTTCCTAGCACGCAAACAGTCATTCATCCCTTGGCTGCCTCTTCTCATCCCTTCTGCATGAGGTAGCCTCCTTAGGCTAACCAGCAGTGTGCCTGATCCTGCACTTGTGCTTGTCTTAGAAAACACACCACAGTCCTGTGTATGTACTGGGAAGTTAGTCAAATGTAGTTATAATGTGGGCTTCCTCCCAAAGATGTGTGAATAGGATTAGGAACAGTCTTAAACAGAAATCCCCAACTTTTACTGCTCCTCAAAAGCTCATCTCACAGGAACCCTAATACACAAAGAAAGCACAATGGGGAATAATTCCCCCTAAAATTTCAAACACGTAAAAGATTACATTATCAAGACATCCCACTTCAAAATGCTTTACTTCGTTGACAACAGAAGGGGATTACAAGTTTTTAGTATCTGTCATTATATGGGTCTGCACAGATATCATGGATTGGTATCTGGTACTGTAAATCATTTTACAATCTTAAAATTTAACTAACATGAAGCTATACATCATTTCGGTAATCTTGAAAACAACAGACAGCAAGAAACAAAGCTTAGTTAACAAATGTACAATTAGTTTTCACTGTTGCATTTTCATGATAGGGTCTTGATTTTGTGCCCCTTATAAATAGCTGTAACATGTAAAGGGATAATTAATAATCTGATACAGCCCCTTCACAGGCAAGCAATTTTCTATAAACATACATATATGTGGCTACAGTTTCTTTCATATGTGTGTCAATGTTGTAGTCACAGATTATGGAATCAGACTGCAGGAAATTCACTCCTTGCTCCAATTTAACACACAAAAAAGTACCATCCTATAAACTAAGATATCTCCATGCACTGAGAAAGCACAGGAATACAGGCAACAGGGTTTGTAAAGTTATTTGTATAACTTATTTCTGTTACTTATAGTTTGACAGGAAATATGTTGCTATATGCTTGTTGTACTGCTCACGTGTTTTGCATTACATTTTTTTGAAAAAATCCTTGGGATTGATGAGAATGGCATAAAGCTTGAACAATTCCTGACAAAATGCCACTAAAGATGCATCTTGAAAATATCCATAAAAAGCAGATTCTGAAAGTAAGTAAATATTAGTTGTGCCAAAAAATAAGTGATTTTGCTCCTACTCATTACACAACTTTTGAAAGGTAATCTCATTACACCTTTGTTACTCCCAAAAGAAAGTCATTATATTAATTCTAACATTACTTCTAACTTATTGCTTGAAGTTCTGACAGACATTAAGAAATTGAACAATACATTTCCCACATGGTGAAAACAAGCTATCTGCCAAATCCCTGACAGGATACCTGACAGCTGTGATGAGTTGAAAACTGCTCAGTCCAACCCCGCTACTGCTACAGTCTGCCTCTCTAAAACTTACAGGTGATCTTACAGGTTTCACCACGTTACCACACATATTACAAATATTATGAGGCAGATAATTATCTTAAGATAGTACACCAGCCATACATAACTGTTAAGAAGTGCCACTCAATTCACTACAACTTACTGCCCCCATCTTATGTTTTGTATGGAAGGCCTATTGCTTCCCCTGTGCAAACTCACTTGTATGTAGGTATCCTTCAGTCTCAAGAGACTGATAATGTTCTCCGAATAGAGGTAACAGTGTCTACCGTGGCTGTGAAGGCCAATTGGAGAGTGACAATCCCTTCCACACTGAAGACAAATACAATCTGTCCCCTGTCCAGCTCCTTGATTTTGCTGTTTCCGGGACTGCCTCTTTGCCTCGGCCTGCTGGACAGGGTCTCTTCAAATTGGGAGAGGCCATGATGCACCGCCTGCCTCCAGACTGAACGCTCAGATGTCAAGGTTTCCCATCTGTTGAGGTCCATTCCTAAGGCCTTCAGATCCTGCTTGCAGATATCCTTGTATCACAGCTGTGGTCTCCTTCTGGGGTGATTTCCCTGCACTAATTCTCCATATAGGAGTTCTTCTGGAATCCGACCATCAGCCATTCTCACAACATGCCCAAGCCAACGTAGACGTTGCTGTTTCGGTAATGTATATATGCTAAACATTCCAGCTTGTTCTAGGACTACTCTATTTGGAACTTTGTCCTGCCAGGTGATACCAAAAATGTGTCGGAAACAACGCATATGGAACATGTTCAGCTTCCTCTCCTGCCGTGCACAAAGGGTCCAGTACTCACTGCAGTACAGGAGTGTACTCAGGACACAGGCTCTATAGACCTGGATCTTGGTATGTGCTGTCAGCTTCTTATTAAGCCATACTCTCTTTGTGAGTCTAGGGAACATGGTAGCTGCCAATGTGTTTATCCAGCTTGATATCTAGAGAGAGAGTGTCAGAGATTGTTGAGCCAAGGTACACGAAATCATGAACAACCTCCAGTTCTTGTGTAGAAATAGTAATAGAGAGAGGTGAGTCCACGCCTTGGCCCATGACTTGTGTTTTCTTCAGGCTAATTGTTAAACCAAAATCTTGGCAGGTCTTACTAAAATGATTCATAAGTTGTTGGAGGTCTGTGGCAGAATGGGCAACAACAGCTGCATCATCTGCGAAGAGGAAGTCCCGCATGCATTTCAGCTGGACTTTGGCCTTTGCTCTCAATCTAGAGAGATGAAAGAGCTTTCCATCTGATCTAGTCCGGAGACAGACACCTTCTGTTGCCGTTCCAAATGCGTGCTTCAGCATGACAGCAAAGATCCCAAAAAGGGTTGGTGTGAGGACATAGCCCTATTTCACTCTGCTTTGGATGTCAAAGGGATCTGATGTTAAGCCATCAAAAACTACAGTGCCCTTCATTTCCTCATGAAAGGATCTGATGATGTTAAGGAGCGGAGGTGGACATCCAGTCTTGGGAAGTATTTTAAAAAGGCTATCCCTAATCAAACCAAAGGTCTTTGTAAGATCTATGAAGGCCACAAAGAGTGGCTGTCCTTGTTCCCTACATTTATCCTGCAACTGCCTGAGAGAAAACTCACTTGTGAGTCCTCATGGAATGCGTAAGACATGGTGTAAAATAAGCATGCAAAGGATCAGGCTGTAGAATTACAACAGATGATGGGGGGTGATCTGTTTCTTTCTATGGGGTGCACTGCTGTTAAAGCACATGGAAAAACACTCCAGCCCACAACAAAAAAACACCGTCTGACGAGTATGCATTCAGTATGAACAGTTCTAAAAATCTGGGGGCTACGTGTGGCAGCTGTCAGGCTAGTTTCCCTGTTTTGTCTGTGTTATATGGCAAACCAAACCGATTACTACCATCAAACAATTACAATAACAATAAGGATTCTTAGTTGTACGTTTCCGAAAAGAAGCAAAGCTGAAACACCCCATAAAGCGGAACGCTACCGCCAGCAAGAAGCCTAAAGATGATCACGCCCGTTTAGATAAGGCAGCCTCGCCCAAGAGGGGATCCCAGACTCAGGGAAGAGATGCACTCCCCGAACCCCCGACCATGCTCCCCCCCCCGCGTTTTTGCGTGTCCGTGGGATCCACCCGGATTCCGTCCCGGCAAACCCTTCCACACCCACCTACCGGGCCCCTTTTCTTTCTGCAGCAGACGGAGGCCGTTATGTGAGAGCTCT